GGGGGAGGGGAGGGGGAGGTGGGACCTGTTGCTCGATTGATTGTGTATCAGGAATCAGTGTTTGTTAGAAAGCGAGAAACTTTATCGGATATGCTAATGTTTATATGAAGAAATCCTGATTGCCTTTAACGCCTTGAGTCCTTTTTCACAAAATCCGTTTTTGTTGGATATTGCTTTCATAAAACGCCGTATTGCCTTGCACCTAACTTCGAAAAAAACCATTCTAAGCTAACCATACTGTAAATAATTTTATAATAATAATAATAATAATAACGTTTAGCGTAAGGAACTTCTAAAACAGTACATCTATTCTATGGCACGCCCTTTGTAGTGCAACTTACGAAGCATTCACCTAAATTCTATCATATCACATTTGTTGAGTACATTACGCAGTAGCAGTAGTAGTTATAGTCAAGCTTTATGCTTTATGCTATATAGCCTGATGGAGGTTTCGCAAATGCTACTGTTGCTGAACTGGCTATCTTTAATTATATTCGTAGGTTTTAGGCCACTGTGACGTGGATTAAGTAAAAATCCCATCAATAATGCAAATAAAGTCAGTCGTCTAATTGCTCCTTTTGCCATATGCCAGAAACGTTAATTCAGATTGTTGCAAGCTGCAAAACATATCACGAAAAAGGCCGTTGCACATGGCGCCATATTTCTGCATTAAACTTCCTAGCACAATCTTTAAAAGCTATACCTAATTGCTCTCTTTACGCAGATCTTTCAGGTTATCTCTCACCCTCTATCATAACAGGAGACTCTTTCCGGCCTGATCTACTTCTAGTCACTTCTGACCATCGGCTATTCATACTCGAGCTTACAGTAGGATACGAAACTAACTTGGATGTTAATGCTAACCGCAAAAGAGAGAAATACTCGAATCTCATTCACAGCCCAAGCTCAGCCTATTCTTCTATCATGTTTGTTAATTTTTTCTATCAGTTCCCTAGGTATCTTTGGTCTCTCCTGCTTCTCTTTTATCGACATGTGCAACGCTCTAGATATCAGCGAGAATCATCTCCGCTTCATGATCTCCAAACTATCCAATTTAACTATCCGTACTACCTATTACATTTTCTGCCGCAGAAATAAATCTTGGAATAATCCTGAACTTCTTCAATTCTAACGATCTCTGCTACTGACAACTTCTAAAAAGAACAATGACGAACAAATTTTTTCCTTTTCTTTAATTTATTTTTTTGTGCTTGTAAACGTCTTTTTCTTTGTAAACCCTGGCTAGCCAATTGCAAATTACCTTGTAATAGTGAAATTTGTAATTGTAGTTTTAATTGAATTGGAAAAAGAAAAGTTTCCATTATTATCAATGCACCCAGAGGCTCTTTTTAAACGTTTTCAATCAAGCATTTCATTAAGAATTTTAAAGCATCTGAAAAAACATTTAAATGTTGTTTCGAACTTACAAACTTACATTATTACATTTACAAACTGTGACAGTAAGAGGCACTATGGGAATATAAACAATGACCTTAAGTAATAGAACCAGGTTTTTACCTTAAACCTCGACTTGTGAGCATAGGCGTAGACTTGCATTTTTTCAGGGAGGGGGGGGGGCTCAATAGATTAATGACAATTCCTAATGGCAGCTGCTGGAGTCACAGGATAGAAAATGGATTAGCTAAGGGCTTAAAGGTGATTGTTTCGTGCATTTTTCATAATCGAGGAAGAAGAAACACACATGAGATGATGGAAAGTGTATTTTTAAATCATAATCAGTTTCTTTAGGTTGAGATCATCAGTTCTATTCAGGCATTCAAAATGTTTATGCGTGGAACCAATAATATAACAAACTAATCTAAAAATTGGTGAAGCACTTCCTTATCTTCCAGGGGGGGCTCAGGTTTTCCTCGGTTTTCCTCAGGAGGGGCTGAAGCCCCAGAGCCCCCCCGAAGTTTACGCCTATGCTTGTGAGAAGGACCCAGAAAGATCGGAAACTAAATTTTACCTGCAGCCAAATTCGGACCTACGTGACTTACATTTGCTTAACTGCATTCGTTGCTGCCCAAATAGTCAATGGTACGTCTTGTGAACGTTTTTCTTTGAATTAATCGACTTTAATAGCTTATGCTCGTAACTTAATATTCGTTTTTAGACGAAGTTGCTTGCTGCATACCTGGAAGAGGTGGCAAAGATCAAGAAGTAGAAGTCGAAATGACCAGAACTCTGTTGAAAAATTCTGGTAAAGTAAACAATTTATAAAAGAATCGTTAGAAAAGTTAAAAATTTAAAGAATAAAATGTTACAATCTTGAAATTTGTCTGTCTTCTGGTATAATATATGAAATTTAGAATTTTCTATTAAAATTTATCAATCTTTCAAAATCTATCCAAATTTTCTTTTCTAAATTATATTATCATTTCTGCGAAGATATCTTTACACTGAATCCCAAAAACTTATATTGTCAGAAATATTGTTATATTGTTATCGTGTCAAGCTTTTGACACGAAGGCAACAGAGTCCAGAAAAGTCTGCCACCTTCCTCCGGTCAAATTTCCCCCCGTCAAAACCGTGGCTAGGGTGTGGCAGAGACGATAAATTGAGACAAAGTTATGTTTTTGGGTCGATGGTAATCACCGCATACGATAAAACTTTGCTAGAATACCAATCACATTACAGCTCAAGAATAATATTCATTTTCAATTTCCAGTAATATAATATACATTGAAAAATTTCAAAACCATGAAACACGAACAGCATTCTCTTTTCAGATGTGTTTTCTGGCAGTAAAAGGGCATAGCCTAAAATTTTTGCATCTGTTCGTGCCAACATTCACCATTCGACGCTGCGACAGATTCAACTTGTGTTTTAAAAGCGCAACAAAGAAAAATATGCAAAATAAGTTGTCTCAATTATTTTTTCAAATTCAATTTTACCAAAACCTTCCTCCAAATTTATATTGTTTCTCAGACCTTCCTCAGGTCAATGACCGTGTAACCGAAATGTTTTCTGGACTCTGAAAAGCAACTGGTTAAGAGAGGAAATAAATTCGTTTAGTTACAGGCAGAGCATTCTTGATATTATTAACAACATTTAAAGCAATAAGAAAAACTAGTTTAAAGTGAAATAATCTGTTTGTTGTATCCAGTGGTAGGTTGTGTGTAAATTTCATCGCAAAAGACGAACAAAATGATCGAATACCACAAGGGTGCAATAAACTTAAAAGCGGCAGAAAAATATTAAATTCTTCATCTCAGACAACATATTTCATACTGGAACAACACCGCTTATCATTATCAAATTTATTCAAGTTTGTAGGTAAACGAAGCTCCGCCACTCAGGCCATTTCTGTTGATTCGTTTCCTCCAATTATCCCTCACCGGAATGCAATGCTTATGATAAACTTTAAGCACTTTACACGGATTTAGCACCTTATAAGCCAGTCTTTCTTTAAAGATCCACAAAAGAACGTTTTCCATACCAGATGAATTTGGAGGGAAATCTAGCTCAGTCAATTTGTCAGCAGTTATGTCTCCTCTTACGTAAAATACAAATATATCATGGCTCCCAATGTAAGGATAACCATCTCCACAATGTGCGGACGCATATGATGCACTGCAGTTTGCAGGATGCCTTGTTAGTGCATACATCAATCTGTTTTCTTTCAAGACACTGGGATTGACTTTTTCCCAGCCTGGTCCTAAGAAATTGTCTTGATGAAGCAAAATTACCATCTTTCTTTTCAAATATTTCGTAGCATAGTCGATGTTATCTTTGATGGACGGTGATACGAAATTGTTATGAATTACGAGTTTATGAATAAACTTGAAATCTAGCATTTTCAACCGTCTAATGGTCGATTCTCGCATGACCAAAACGTGAACATGCGATACCAGTTGGTTTTCAAGGTTTCTTTTGAGACACTCAAACACTTCAGCAATCCTTGCCTTAATTTCTTCATCAGTAGGTGGTAAACCCTTGATTAACAAACCTTTTCTAACATCTTCGTGATCAAATGGCACAAATGTTGTCACCAGATGAAACAAACCAGATTTTTCTTGGTCCAATAGGTGTCCTGTTTCTGGATCCACGGCTGCGGACATTTTCGGTCCTAGATCTTGCTTTAGCATTGACTGATATCCTAACTTGATTCTGAACACTCTTCCGATAGTCTTTGAATTTTCAGAAAAGACTGAACCATTTCCGAAGCTATGGTACAAGAAAGTCAATGCTATCGAAGCAATTATGGCACTGCCAAGGATCTTGCGTTTCAACTCCATAATGAAATAAGGTCAAACGATATTCTCTGCCTGAACGGACCTATAAAACGTCGAACAACTGAATTTTTGAGTTATCGTCAGTCGGCAGAAAACAGCAGTATCGTAATCATGGAATTTACCGGCTACCGGGATACGCTTACCACGCTCAAAAATGTTGATCCAGCAAGACGAAAGGACCTTTTAAGTACCAATCCTTTGAATATTATGACAAAGCAACCTGAATCCAGCAATACAAACAAAGAGTATACCAAAACTAGCAAATGTTAAATGCAGTCTCTTTTTTCATCAATCCTCTGCTACCTAACATCCAATGCGTCTCTTTTACAAATCCTTTACCAATAACTACTTCTTCTACATCTGTTATCTTTCACTACTGCTATCATTACCTCTCAGATTTCATCCCATTCTCTTTCTGCGGGGGCACTCACAAATTTTATGTAAAGGATAGTGATCACATTTTTTGGGATTTCCTGTTAATATTCGTACCCGATTTCATTCCATTTTCAATTATTTAAGTACGGTAGCTCATTCAGCAATACTGAAGGCCATGATTAACCGGAGTAGCTACGGCTATTTAACCTAGTTTTAATTAAAAACGAATTTTTTTCCCTGTGATGTTATCAAAACTTTTCTCAAAAGTCATATCATTTTTGCTTCGACGGTGCTTTCTGGCAGGCTGTTCCATTCCTTTAATTTTTGATAGGAATAAATTGTTGTTTCTGACATCGAACCTGTATTTAGCTACACATTTTTTCCACCAACGATGCCAAATCTATGACCCCTTGTCAGGGGCGCCTGCACAAGATTAAGGCAGGAGGGGCAGTGCTGGTACTGAGGGCAAAAATATAATTTGTTCCATTACCATAATCGATTATTTGTAAGAGTGGAGAGGGGGGGGGGGGGGGTTGATGCAATATAATGTATTGGCATGTTTCTGGTACACCCATAAATCTGGTACTTTTGCAATCAAAGGCTCTAAATATAGGTGCAATGTTGACAAAATACCCATGCAAAATACCCATGCATTATTCGAAATTTTTGGTTCAACGAAAATCATGGCAATTATAAATGGGCTGGCTGTAAGACTTTGATTGTCCGCTTTGTCTCAATACTCCATGGCTGCAGAATCATTGAGAGTGTGAAAAGAAAAATAATAAACAAAAGAATCAAAAGTAAATCATATAATTCTTTACTTCAGAGTGTTTTTTATATCAAGGCAGGAACAAGCGCAACACCCTCATTCTGGTGATGGGCAAAATAGCCAGCATCTTATATGACGCCGTTGGCTTTTTGAGTTTATTATCGTCTTTTAAAAAAATTTCTCTTATCAAGACTGACACAAGACGGATTTTTCTATTTTTTTGAATTTTTAATGAAAATTTACACAATAAGAGTGGCCAAACTAGACATCAATTATGGTAATATTTTCTTAGGAGTGAATATTATAGGGCACTGCTTGCCCCCTCTGCCCCTTCTTGAAGATGGCAGGAGGGGCAGCTGCCCCTGCAGCCCCTTCAGGGTAGGCGCGCCTGCCCCTTGTTTTGTTTTCGTGGCGCCTGAAGAATTTTTAATAGGGGTTTTGCGTCAATGAGGACATGAAATATTTTGTATGTTACGATTGTATCACCACGCTTCCTTTTATACTGGCAAGTCGGTTATTTCAAGGTTGAATGAAATCTCTTAGTTGACTGATAATTGGCCGATGCCACAAACAAGCTTTATTACTCATCTTTGAACAGCTTCCAATTGTTGAATGTGCCTAATTAGTATTTACGGTCCCTACAGAAGCCGACGATTAAATCAAAGATCGGACGAGGCTATTGTATAGTCAAATAAAAACATTGTTCTATTGATTGATGCTAGGACACGATGAAGAATTCACAATAAGTTTCAGCATTGTTTATACACCGATAGGCTGCCGGTTTACAAAATGAAAAGAACAAAGAAAGCACTAAAACATAATGTTTTTAATTAGCGATGCTAGACAAATTGTTTCTAGTGTCAAGGTCATCCATTTCACCAATAGAGACAAAATGTTAACGGGACCTAGAACCCAAATTACTGCAGTTCTGAGTAAACAAAAACTAAGCTAGGACACGATTGTTTATTTCGGATATTTCTCAAGTATATCAAGTATACTTTCCTTTCATAGCATCAACAATCTGAAGTCAGCTTTCGATATCCTAGATTCTGTACTGCCACGAGATAATACGATGTAAGCTTTTGCACGGTTTTTGTATCATGATTCCTTTCATTTTCGCTTGAATCGTGCATTTTCGTTTTTAATGCAGAAAATGTGAATTTAGGAGCAGTTTTGGTCTATGCATGAATACAGTTGCACTGCAATTATGCAATTTGTATGCAACTATGAAGTCTTTCAGATGGTAGGACCACTTCCTCTTATAAGAGCTCATGATAACAATGCTAGGTAACCTCTAGGGTGCCAGTGAAGAACATCGTTAACGATTGAATTTAGCAAGTGAGAGGAAATCTTGAGCTCTTTGGTCATGAGCTCTTAAGGAAAGGACTATAAGAAGATTATATTTTTCTGGCCGCCATTTTATGTATTAACTGTCTTTGGAGTGATTAAAGAGCTATCTAAGAATCAAATTAGATCTCTTATATTTCCATAGTGAGCATTAACCATGTTCACTTTCAATCACCTTTTAACCATGTTTTAACAGAGATAAATATAACTCTCCAAAAGGCTTTGATTTCAAAGCTGCTAGCATGAATGAATTTTAGAATACAAATTTGGGTAATAAAAGCTTTGAAATGAAATTTTTAAAGTTTATGGGTATGTTCTGGCATTGTCGCTCTTTTCTCACTTCTCGATTTCAATATTTTTTATTCTTAACTCTACTGAAAAAGCTGTTTAGATAGTTGTCTTCAAAACTCTTTTGAAAGACGAGAAAGATGATTGTCCCTGCGAGGAGTGGTGATTATGACATAAAGAGGTTACTAAGGTACCTGCGGAGGATATCCTGCACAAGAAAAGATGTTTAGATGTATCAAAGAGAAAATCTAGCCCTTTTAGAGCAAAAGATATATCAGAATTTTTCCTTGAGAGACATAGGAAAGATTTTTCAGACGAAGAAATTGGATATTGCAGTAACATTTTTCTGTCAAGATCCTTTCCTACTGTTGCGATTCTATCCGGCTGAAATGGCAAGCCTAGAACTGGAGGATTTAATCTTCAAAATAGGTGACAAATAAACGGTCTTGTCAGATTGTTGTTCAGTATATTTTGGTGGTTTGCTCAACCAATCTTAAGATGATGCTGATTGTCAAAGTAAAGAACTTGAAATCTAACTGCACATGGAAATAGCATAACTCCCTTGGAAGCAAAGTATGTGAAAAACATGATATCTGACTCTCTATACTATTGACCATGGGAAAAACAAATGATCGTAAATGACTAGGCACTAGGCAAGATGTCAGATGGAATGAATTATCCAAAACTTTATCTCGATTCATTCATCGAGTACAGTAGCGTTCTGTCAAAAGATGGTCGGAGTAGGATAGGCATATAGGTTAGAATGATTAGAGTGGTGTAAAACGTCTTATGGGCCAGGAGAAATACTACAAAGAGATATTTGTAAGGCCCAAAGTGAAAGTCGGCATCTCTAAAAATGAAAGATTTGAAACGCAAAGAATATTTATGGTGTAGCACCCGTACGGTGTAGATATTCTTCAAAATAGTGGCGATTCTTATATCAATATCAGTGTTGCCAGTCATTGGCTTACATAGGATATGTAGAAGTATTTTAAGCCAATGTGGAGAATGTGTTCTCAAAATGTTTCCAGACCCCCTTAAACGCTTAGATTGGTCTGTTACTCCAACCTTTCGACATTTATAAGATTTCCCATTTTCTCCAGCCAATCTATTGCTATATCACACGCAGACGCAGTTGAAACAAATAGCTCAAGATCGAAAAGTGTACACTCACTGTACACCTCTTGGTAAAGCAAACTGGGATTCCCTTCACAACTTTTAACCTCGTGTGCTTACTTCCCATATCACCGTTGTGTTGCACAGTAATCTAACATAAAATTTACAGACTTTTTTAGCTTTTACAGTCCGCAAAGACATGCGAATTCTTGAACCTTGATTTGTGAGATTTTGAGAAATACTTGCATAACAAAGCTTTGTGCAGCACGTGACGCACGCTATGCTTAAAAATCGTCCTGTTCAGCATAACATCAAACGCACGATCGCAATCCCACAACTCTTCCTCCCTCCCTAGATCTTGTAAACTTTGGAACGCTCCATCCCTTTCATACTTGACAGACTCTTACAACCAGTTTTTATTCAAAACAAGAATAAACAAGCTTGATGATCTTTCCTCTCTCTTTTCCCAATCCCTCCTACCTTTCCCTTGTTAGCGCTGGATCTTGAGCCTTTTCATAGCATCACCAACTAAAAAAAGTGAGCCATGGGTTCAGAATACTGCTTGCTGGCAGGGTACCCCAAATTAAGGAAACTGTCTTTGCTGTACTAAAATACCTCGAATATTCTATTCATTTTTTACCCACTAATTTCCAGAGAATTTCGGCGTAACGGCAAGAACAGAGGGTCCCTACCAAACAATACGAGCTGTTCTTCACAGTTCATTCTAACCCTTTTCAAGAAGCATGAAAAATGCTCGGTTTTCAAAATTTAGATTTTCCAGCCTTTAAAATCTGATGATACCACCATAGAGAGTTTGCAAAACTGTGTGAATACTAATCAAATATTCATATGGTCTGGTCTATTAGCAAAAAGTTATGGATATTCTGTCAAAAAACCTGCTTTTATGAAGTTTGACAATATTGCAGCTGCACAGCAGTCGAATTGTGCATGTTATGATGATAGTATGACGTTTGGCACAAGTACTTAATTCGACCGACTGAACAATTGAGATGGATATCAAGCTTCGATTGGGTCTCACATTGCAAAACAAAATGCAAATCCAGCTTTAAAACGTAAACAACAACCATTTTTATACTGTTGCATTTATAGCTAGTCCTTCCCACTTTAATTTTTTAACTATGCAAGCTGTCAAACTGAAACATTGGTGTCTGGCGTAATCTGACTTTCTTTGCTAGATAAAGTTTGTGTCAGCCTGCGAAGCAAAGAAATTTAACACGTGGATATCTCTAAATATATTTGGTTGATAAAACTCATTGTGGTAGAAAATTTTTAAAAGCCAGTTGATTGTTTTTGTCAGTTGAGCTGCGAATTGCTTGCCACTTTTTTTTGGCGAGCTCTTATGAAAAACCTTTATAAATTACGAAGATGTGAAAGGAAAGTGAAGGAAAATGCTGACGATCTTCTTAGATCGATCTCGTTAACTCTCCGAGGGACTAAATAGATTTTTCAGAAATGAATAATACCTCATTTACGCGAGAAAAAAGGATCGATTTAGGATCCCGATCGTTTTGCGTGTAGTACTCGGAGCTGAAGACATAAGCAAAAAACAACAACAAGGTTTTGTAAAGTATCTAGCAAATCAAGTTATATGAGCGGTCTTTGTCAGCAGCAAAAGAATAAATATGTGTGGCAGTAGAGGTTTATTGATCATTTAGGAAATGGGATGAATAAAACAGGAAATTCGATAGGACCCTGTGGAACACCAGCATTATTTGAGTGAGCATTAGAGAGGTAGCCGTCACCTTTAATGGCTATGAACGTTCCAGTAAGAAAGCTGCCAATTTTATTGATAAGGGCTTGGTGCAGACCATAAAATGGGGAGTTTAGATATAAGACCGCTCTAATGGTTATGGACCTATCAGAAAGAAAGCTGCCAATTTTATTGATAAGGGCTTGGTGCAGACCATAAAATGGGGAGTTTAGATATAAGACCATTGTACCAAACGTGACAAGCCGTAAATTCCTATTCAAGATGCTTTTGCTTTCACCCTGTATCAAGACTGTTTTCACCCTAAAATACGATCAACACTAAGCAGGCAACTAGTAATTAACCTATTTGTTGGTTTTATTATGAAAGACTGTTGTTCATACTCTGCAAACGAAATAAGCTTTGTAACCTCTAGCTATATTTTGCAAAGTATGTATATAATTTTACTTTTTCCGGTGAGATTAGAAATTCCTCCAAAGATACATTTGATTTCGTTTAGAATTTTAGCTAGAAGTTATAACAAAACGTATCATTGTGACTTGGGCGTGACATGAAGTATTCCACAGGGAGAAACATGTTTTCGAATATCTCTCTCTTTTCTATGCCTCGTGCTACTAACTGTAAATCAATACCAACGATGAGGAGGCCTTATGCGAAGAGATGCCGGAAATGCCAAATATGGTGAGACTTTCTTACCATGTGTCCCGGAGCCCTGGACCCAAATTGAGATTTTTTGTCTTCTTTGCAATAAAACGTTCTCTTCCACAAGGCTTTTGTCTTCTTCCATATCGACCTTGCGATAAACAAGTTTTCTTGTTTTCTTTCGTATTGTTTGGGAGGAAACACTGTCCATCGTTCTTGTAGGCCTTTCCGGGTTTTGACGTACTGTTAACGTCAGCTGTGCACACCAAGGGGAGATTCACTCTTGCAAATAGCGTACGAGATTTTGCCTAAAGCAAAAGGATTTCTGGGGATTGTCAGTTAAAAGAATAGGATTTTTACAAAAGGTGTACGAGATTTTCTTAGAGTGATGATCTTTTTGAAAGATAAGTGAAAAGATAAAGAAATGATAAAGGAAAATCTAAAATTGATTCAAATGAGATTATTTTCGCTGTAGAGATTGTCACAGGTCAAATCACACAAGAAATATAGAAGCTTCCACGCCAGTCAAAGCAGAACACTTTAAACGTCGAATGTATTAAGGGGTACCAGGTATTTGGGCGTGATTGCGTGATCAGCGTGAGACAAATTTTTTATTATGCGTGAATGCGTGAATAGACATTACTCGTGGCGTGATTGCGTGAAAATGATTGCTGCAAGCGAATTTGTACCGCTTGGTACCAGCAGAAAGTCGGCAAGAGACCAGATAATTGTCTCCATTATTCAGAAATTCCAATGCAGACGGTTCTACCAACAAGAGGCTGCGTGCATAATATTGTCATGTCCGAAGATCTCTTAGTAGAGTAGATTTTGTTAAAAATTAAAGAAATTGCTCGTATTAGATAGCTATTAAGGAAGTGGATTTGCTACAAGTCTCTCAGCAAGTCCAATAAGGGAGAGAACGTCCGGTTCTGTTTGTTTTATCGTGTATTGCTTTCTTTATCAAGGCCGTTTGTCAAATTGTTGTGTAAAATCAGATACCAGCATGAGCGTTTGTCCACAAGGGAACGCTTAACAAGATAAGATGCAAACCTCAGCTGACAAATACCCCAAGAGCTATACTTAGACTATTTTACTAGGTCTCAGGCCCCAAAACCATTTATTCTAATAATGTTGCTGCTAGTTGTGACACCAACATGAAAACTAGCAGAGATGGGCAGATGCATATGCTAAAAAAAGTTAAAATGCAGACTCCAGCTGATAAATGCCCCAGATGCTGTTTTTAGACTGCTGTACTAGGTCCCAGGCCCCAAAGGCGTTTATTCTAAAGATGTTGCTGCAAGTTGTGATCCCAGCATGGAAGATGGTAGAGTTTGGCAGTTTGATATGCTCAAATAGATAGGATGCAGACCCCAGCTGAAAAATGGCCCCAAGTGCGATTTCTAAACTGTCTCAAAATTGAAGCTAGGGAAAAAAGGAGGTGGTATAAGGGTATCTAATGTTGATTTAACACCTATTGGCATTGGCGTAAATTCCTTCGAGATTACATGAACAAAGAAAAACTCTTTACAATGCTGGCATGAGAGCTTGGAAAGCAAAATACAAACAATAATGCCATTATTGCAATATCTCTTGAAAACCTAATCTGCGATAATGTAGCTTAGCCTCTTTTGCACCATGCAACCATGAAGAGGCTAATACCAGGATATTCCTTAACACTCTTAACACTACTAGCCATGCTCTCTGATAATCTGGATAAGAACAGTTGATACTGATTTGTGGTCGTTAATATCTGGGACTAGCAACCTTGACTATATAGTTTTCATATGATGATATCTTGCAAGTTTTCCTTGGTTATTAAGACTTTTGTAATAGTCTATACAATCTGCGTGCTGAAGCATTGGCTAATTTCCAACTATTTAGATTTGGGTGTTGTCATAAGTAACCACGTCCTTCCTCATAAATTGCCCTTGTAGGCCTCCTGTTAATATTTTTAAAATTCACCCTTGGTCTCAAAATGCTATATCCTTAATAAGTCGTCAGTTTGAAATAGAAAAAATGTTGAAAAACCGCTAAACAAGATGTTTCTCTTTGTCGTCATCCTGATTTCTCCTTTTTATGTCTTCCAATGATGTCATCATTCTTAAATTACGCATCTAAAACTTACTAATCAGCAGATCACTATCATATGCTAAGTTACCTTGTTTGTCTGAAGGCGTGGCCATCACTAGAATTATAGTATCTCTTTTAACTTGCTTGTTTTCGAAGATAAATTCTACAAGAAAGAAACTCGTCCCGCTCATAGTGATTCTTTATTCAAACAAACAGCAAGCAAATGCCGAATTTAATACATTACAGTAGCTACCTGCGCCTTAGCAATACACGCTTTTTTATAAGAAACCCAGCTCGAGGCCTAGTTTATGACGCTCCTTGTTATATTTGAACCTCTTTTTATCCAATTGTGGTACTGCAAGTTCCTTAATAGTTCCTTAACTATCTGCACATTTGGTGCCATGAAAATTGCACATAACAAATCAAAATCTGTTTCTGTATTTATAAAAAAGTGAAAGAAGACAAATGAAACACTTGAAATCAAACTAACAAACACTTTATAGCTACTTTCGTAACACACAATTTTTGTGGTATTCAACTCCAATTGAATGGAACCGATTTCCCAATTCTTTATTGCTTGCAATCATTAAAATATTCAAAAATGAAAGGTTCCTTACGGATTTTTTTTCTTTTGTATCAACAGTTCTTCAACTTTTTTGCCATCTAATACGTATGTTCCTAATGAAATAGTTCCTTTATAAAAAAGCGTGTATTGTTATATTGGTTCTACTATCGAAAGTCAAAATTTATAAATAATGCCCCGCCCTTCCACACTTTGTGTTACAAATATGATAAAATGCTTAAAATTTTAACCAGTAAAACATGAGTCGTCGGTTGGAAGTTTAAAAAATGTCGGAAAACCGCTAAACAAGATGTCTCTCTCTGTCGTCATCCTTGTTTCTATTCCGTACATTCTGTAACGATGCAAGTTACAAGCTACACAAAGAATCGATGGATACGTTCCATCAATGCAGTGCTCAAGGGTTTGATATGCCTTTTGCTTTCCTAAAGATGGGGGTAGGTTTTCAATAGCTTTCTTCATATAAAGACTTCATCAATTGAAATAACATACACAGTCTTGAAACCCTGCTACTAAGTTTAAAATTGCTCTAGAGGTCCTATTGGAGGTTTTAAGCTTCAATTTCTTAATAGTATTTCCGACCGATTTTTGGGGTTCAATCCTGTGAAATTTGGTCTCTAGATCTTTCCTCGGCTGACATTTTTCAATAGAAATCTCAAGACGTTTGTGGTGCCTTTAGAGTGTCTACGGACTAGGAAGTTGACGCAAATTTTCCTTTCGACTTTAGTTCCCGAAAGATAGGCCCCTTTTACAGAACACCCAGTCTAACAAGCACGGTAATTTTTTTCACGGGGGTTAGCAGATAGCAGGTAAATTTGGCAGGGTAGCAAAATTTTTCTTGGGCTAGCAGTGGATTGAACGTCGGACAAAAGAGGGAAGCAAAATTAACTAGTGTCCAAAATCACAACTGCCAGGGGACATTAGGGAAGGAAAAATTTTCTGGGTCATTCGATTTTTGAAAGGGACTCCCCTGTCGTGAAATTTTTCCCTTACAAAGGGTTTCTACCAGGCTTGTTTCACAGGGTTGCTACAGAAAATGAAAAATTTTGAAAAAGGAAGGTATTTTTTCTTCTTTATAAAGGTTTCAAAAGCATGCACTTGTGTTCATCTTACCTCTGAGTTTCATATTAACAATTTAAGATTTACAGCGAGGAATGTGTTTTAATTTATTTACAATTTCTTAATAAGTCACTGGATTGGCTGTTAACGGTAAGGTAAATATAAGCCCTATATACAATCGAGATTGAAGAGAAGTCCCTATTAGTGATCATGATATTTGCCTGATTGGCGCACAGTTTCTCGACCATTCTTTAATCAAGGCAAAAATATTCAAGTATAACATCGCGTTAGGAATTATTATCAAATCTCGACTTCGGGTCCCGAAGCTTCTTCTTAACTTGCTTTGTAAATTATCTTCGATATTATTAAAGTGAATGTTGACCCACGTTTTTTTTTCTCGTTTTTTCCAACACCAATTCTGCTTTATATCTTAACCTTGCCGGGAAGCCGTCGCAGCGTTGTCCTGAAGATTTTGTTCAATGCCACGTAAAGAATCGGGTTTATGGCGCTGTTAGTGTAGTGCAAGCACTTGACAATCATGGCTGTCTTAAACTTGACTTGTACATTGAAACTGTTAGGAGGACCACTACCATGAATGGTGTCCATAGCAACAAAAATGTCCCAATTATTAAAGCAATAGCTTTTGCTGCTTTCAGCTCGCGTTTGATCCCTCGCAGGCGCCACATGCAACGGCTTTTGGTTACTACAGTGTTTCCTGATTCTGGCAATTCTTCTTTTAACTTTTCTTTCTCTTGCTCCTTCTTGAAACGATCACTGCTAGCAGCTTGTTTCTTCTTCTTGGGAAGTGCAACTCTCTCATCGTCGATTTTCCCTTGGCCCTTTCTGTTAACATTTCCATCTTCTTGGCAGCAATCGTTGCTGCAAAGTACCTACAAAATATGAAGTTTTTTTCTTTGTTTAGTAATGTATGACAATTTGATTTATCGACGAAGAAGTTGAAAATTAAAGACCAATGAATATTGTGAAAGTGAAGGAGAAGATATTGTAAAAATGAAAGAGCAGCATTCTAATACAGGCCTGGAAAAAGTTGGAGGATTGAAGATATTAGCTCAACAAATTTATCCAGTGTTACGGCGATTCAAAATACCTGTCTGTCTCTTTATCATCCTTATTTTTAGCTTGTGTAGCAGCTTCTATGAAGATACTTGAATATGCGTACAATCAAGCATGCTTGATATTTTGATATTGTGAATTTGCTTGGATATACCTAACAATGTGAGATTCTGAATTGTTCTCTCTAGTCTTGTCTTCTTTATTTCAATAACAGAAAATGATACCTTTTCATCTTTGCTATCTCCAAGTCCATGCTCATCTTCTTCCTCGGTCTCGTCCGTTCTGTTGCGCATTTTTCCTGAGCTTTCTATTTGGCTTACGTAGTCCTCCCATTCCTTTATTCCTTCTATCTTTATGAGGGCAAGCTGTGACTTTGTCTTCGTTTCAAGCAAACAGGGTATTGTTTCATGTAAATGCTGTTTAGATGTCTCGTTTTCATCAGCAATGGCAATGGTTTCTTGCCTCGTTCTGCTTTCCAGTGAAAAACATCTAGAACCCTTTTTTGGCATATTCTTATTCAAAGAGGCCTCTTTGTCCCCTAAAATGATAAACAGAGCATTGTAAAGTCAGAATAATGCTACCCTGTTGCCAGGTGTTAAGTCAATGGGATGAGAACAAAATATCTTATTTTTGCAGGAACCAGTTTACAAGCGGCAGAAAAGAGTGACAAACCTTGCTAATTCACTCTCATAGTTTTTGAAACATTGCAACTCGTTGACCTTAATTGGTAACGGCTACCAAAGACCGAGTCACTACTTTACAAAGGAAGCTATCTGTCTTGGAGCTGTTCCATTGCAGAATGCATTTCGTATGCACCTTTCCTTTGAGAAACACCATTTTAATCTACCCATTTATCTATCTCTGTTATGATGACACATTTTGTTACTGTCTATAGCATATGACACACAACAATTCCTTGGAGACTAAAAGTTTTTCAATAAACTTGACTTGATGCAAGATTCAAAAAGGCTCAATATTTGTTTGAAAATGTTAACTGATTTTTATAGATTTCAAAATTGTTATGTTTAGGCAGTTGTAAAACTCAACTCAAAACTTTTTATTTAGCAACAAATGTACAAGATTATAAGGTATACAACTTCCAAGATTATAATAGATATACAACAAATTAGATAACAATGAAAAGATAGTAAATTAAACGTTGCCAAGGACACTGAGGTGAACCCGAAATATTTTCGTGCCCAGTGCCCTAAAGTTATTGTGCCCAGTGTAAAAGATACCATTTCAAACACAGCTACGTTTAATTCTACTAAGAAATCTTAAGCGCTGTGAATAATACATACCTTGTTGTTGCTTGGTTGCTGTTTGTGCTTTTCCAGTCGGCAGTTGCACTCTACCAAGAGAAATGAGGCGACGTCTGTCCTTCTCTTGCTGCTCTATAAACTTGAAGTGAGACATCGTTACTAGGTAGGTATTCCCATTGGCAAAACACATCACTGCCACAGGGATGACATATGTGAGGAAAACAACAGGAATGATCAAGTAAGGGTTTTTTGCCATCATTCGTACAAAACCAATCATAGATGCGATGATTCCGTACACGGGTGTCGCAGCAGTGAGCCACTTGGCTCGCCTCTTGGTGATGATGCTTTCAAAGTTTAACGGGTACACAATGTAGATATATCTTTCAATGCTTATAAGAACCAAATTTGAAATCGAGAAGGAGCCACAAAAAATGTCTAGACATATCCATAGTTTATAGACCAAGCCATCTTCCTTGCTAGGCCATCCACTTTGAATAAATGAAATCCAAAATGGAAGAGACAGAAAAGACACCAATAGATCAGAAATGCACAGGTTTGTTATGAAATAGCAGGTTGTGTCTCGTAGTTCACGGCAGACGTGAAGGGCCACCAATGCTATGACATTGCCAACGACGGCAACCACAATGACGAAACAAAGGAAAGTAGTTACAATGATGATTGTCGTTGGCGAGAGCCCTAAGCCAGTATATTCCTTTTTAGGCGCATTACGTCCTGTCATTTCACTCAGTATTCCAGTCACAACTTGCGTTAAGTTTTTTGTTAGCTCGTTGGTACCATTTTCGTCCTTCATCACTTCGAGGTTGTGATTGGTGAGCGTTGGGCTGTATGAAAGACAGACAAAAGTTTTTTATTTCAGTTGAATCAGTATTCTGTCTAAAATAAATGCTTAGGCTAATCGAATTCTGTAGCATTCTTCACAGAGATTTTTTGTACAGTCTAAAAAGACAATTGGGATTATCACTAGATGCCAGCCTATCTTAAAGGCAATCTATCTCGTTGTGGATTGGTTAACGAGAACAATAGCTGGAACAATAGCCTAAACACGATTCCAGCGCTCCGCCATTTTTTTTACAATGCGATAAATTAAAGGGGGACTGGAAACAATAAAAATCCCTTTGTTCTTATACCCAATCAACGTCGTGACAGATTGCCTTTAAAATCTGGACACTTGATTATAAAAAGTTAGGGAACAAACGTTCCTGAGAGAAATGGGGCCGGAAAACGATTGCAGCAATTTATATTAATAGAATTAAAATAATACCAGAACTTTTTTGAATTTAACACTAGAAAACTTTTATCAATGATTTATTGAACACTTCCTTTAAATGAGCAAAAACAATGATAGTGATAATTGATAACTAAAAATTGGCTTTTACAAGATAGTAAGCCAGATGTGGAAGACCGATAGCTTATCAGAAAATCGCATATGTTGACGTATTAAGGAAGGCCCCTGTATACCAGATTAACTCTATAAAGAATGTGTCTGGTACCCAGTGTAGTTTGCCCTTAAATGATCCTGTCGTTTTTCTTTCTATCTCTAGTCGCTATTTGAAGTTTAGACCCCGTTTACACTGTGCCGTTCTGTGCACGATCTAGGTCACGTGCAGTTATCCGGCACGGTATAAAAGTAAATCAATCCGAACAAGTTTATGCGGATAAAATGTATCCGGCACAGTGCTTTTGGCATTCGAAAAATGTCAGTCCCAGTTGGTCCATTATAAATTAAATGTCTTCACGTAAGCTGAATTTCTAGCACTTTAGATACAATAAAGTGCTTCCCCGATAACCGTTCTTCGATTAACCTGGATTAACTGGCCGTCGATGAACTGGCCGCCTTGGACATAAGAACAATTATTATCTGCACTTGTTTTCGATTAGCCGAACCAAGAATAACAACAAAAAAGTATTTTTCCGTACCTATTTTTAATTAATCCGTCTCCATTGAGCAGCAGAAAACATTGCCTTCAAAAACGCCAGAAAGAGTGTGAAAAACTAATGACACAGTTGCATCATCGCATAGAAGAGACCAGGGGATGCCCGTTTAAGTGGTTGTGACCCGTGCAATTTTGTTTCCCCTCTACTCTGAATGAGGCAAGATCCCTGTCTGATATTGATGTCGAAAAAGTATGAACTAGTCACTAGTCCGAGGGGAAATTCATTCCTGGAAAAAGCGTACGAGATTTCAATTAATAACATGGAGTTTCCTAAAATTCAATAGGATTTCTACCAAAGGTGCACGAGATTTTCACAAGATATTTTTCAGGCACCACGGAGCAGGGGGGCTGGATGGTGGGCTTAAGCCAAATTTTAATGCCAAATATTAAGTATCAAACTACCAGAAAAGCCTCTTTTTATACGGTTTAGCCCCCCCCCCACTTTTTTAGACCCCCCATTTTTCTCAACGCTCCGCGGTGCCTGTTTTGCCTGTTGGGCGAATTACGCCCAACCAAAGAACTCTGCGTGGGCATTAGCACTGTCTTGGGCTGATTCATTTTATGCAACTCCGACTAAAAAATTCCATCCTTACACATTACATTTCTTCGCAATTTGAATTTTTAGGCTTAGGCTTTTCCTTACTTGCAAATTAAGAGAGTATTGTCGTAATTTTATTCGCTAAAAAAATTTATTCAACTTGGTTAAAAAATTCATTGTTTATACATGGCGTCACTTCATACTTTTTGTTGAGGGGGAGGGGATGGGGAGGGTGGCTGCACATTTGCTCTGCAGAAAAATCATATCCTGGCAAAAGCTGAAAATGTGGGGAGATGGCCTTCGGTTCCCAATTCAACTTACGGCCTCATTTTGAAACATTCTTCAAATTCTTTGTATGTTTATCAAATAATCGATAAAATGCTTAATAAAGATGTTTAATCTACCGTAAAAGCTCTATTTCGTTTCACTTCATTTTAAAATCTTTATACACGAATTCCCTATCAGCTATAATATAAATAGACTGCTTCTACTACAAAATAATTTTTTAATATGTATAAAATAAATATGTTGCTGTTCTACCTAGGGGTCGTGTTTTGTTTTATGGGGCTCATTCTGATATTTCTTGGAATCTCATTCCATGTTTTGGCCCCAGAGTGAAAGAAACTTCGCTTTGAGAATTCCAAACTTTGCCCTGGGATGTCAATATCAAGCTGATTCCTTGTCGAATAACTTGATATCTCTGATCTAGTGATAAATTTACCTTAAAGGCTGTCAGGGCAAAGACCATTCATCATTTTGTATGTCATTATGGACCTGTGCGTCATTAATTATGGTTTCTAAACACAATTAAGGTACCAAGTTACATAAATATAAAAATCACTGTTTTTGCATAAACGCTTTTCCATTATCAAAACCAATTATATTTAAACAAATAAGGCTTGATTTAAACAATTATTTAATAGAGAGAGTTAACAAATTCCAATTGGTAACGTTATGGTTGTTAAAACTTTCGTCGAGACTTTCTTAATCCAAGACAGGAACCTCAAAAAAGTTAAAATGTTAGCGCAGCACCTTGTTCTAGAAAACTGCAATGGAATTTTTCTGAGTCCAGATGAAGATAATATTGTTTTCTTTGTGGTAATGCTGCTACAAATGACTTTATAACAATGATTTATCATTACAGGTAAGGTTTTCTCCCTTGAAGGCCCAAAAATGCCTGAAATTAAACATTAAGGTATTTGAAATTACCGTAAATCCTCGAATAAGCCCCCAGGGGCCTATTTGCAAAAATGAATTTTTGCGTGGGGGCTTATTCGAGGGGGGTATTCGAAAGGGGGAATTATTTCAAAGTTTAGTATTTTCCTCAAAGGTTGACATAAAAACGACTCTATTTTTCTAACAAATCTAACAAAGAACTAACAAATATTATAATTTTTCATCATCACAAAAGTCGCTCTTTTGCTTTTTGGTCTCCAGTCAAAGGAAGTAATACTGTATAGCTATTGCCCCGTGGAGGCTTTCTTGAAATAAGATATTACTCTGCAATTATGCTTCTGTCCCCCATGGGGGCTTATTCGAGGGGGGCTCATTTGCAAAAACGATCTTTTAGGTGGGGGCTTATTCGGGGGGGGGGGGCTTATTCAAGCGTGGGGGCTTATTCGAGGATTTACGATAATTCTGTTTTGTTGATTTTTAAAGAGTTTTTTCGACGGTCTTGAACTCAGGCTAGCAAAATGACAAGGAATGATGGCCAAATGAATGACTTAGCTGTGCTGAGGTATTGGAAATGTTGTAGCTAAAAAAGATGACTTTAGTAATGTTATTGATGCTTTTGACTTTAGAAAACTGGTACTGTAAAGGCTTTGAAAATCAATGGGCAACAGTTTGAATAAAATATGTCGGAGAGACTCCCTTTTAATTGCCACGTAGCTAATTTTTGTCTGAGTTTGTAGCACCGCATTCATATCTATTTTATATAAACAGAACCCCAGGCCGGCGGCTCCCGAGAAGGTTTTAGAAAAAGTGAAAATTTTAACCACGCTACCATGCTACATATAAAGGTCATTTTAGCTTTCAATTTTAGAACAAGGGTATTTCCAGGAACGAAAATATGGCGTGGTCAAAAAAGCTTTTATGGTCTTCGCTGCAAATTGGGGCCCCGTGATACATTTTGCCCCGGGTCCGTCCCGCCTAGCAGCGACGCTAGAGAAAATGTTTCATAATGATACCAATACAAGATAAGCTTGGGGAGGATGCGCCATTAGAGCAGATTTGTGGACTGCAAATGTCTAACCTCGCCTTCAAGGATGCATTGATCTTGTAGCAGCAGAAACCATATATCATGAAAACTGCCTTTAACGTTTCATACTAGGCAAAGATTTACAAATACCAGAGAAGTCCTTAATAGACAGAATTGATCTATTTGTGAAATTGTTCGAAGTTAGTACTCTCATTCATAATTAAGAATTTTCAATAATTTTGTCCACGCAAATACCCGTTTAGCTTCAAAATTCAGAACCTACGCCTTGAATTCTTGCAAGCTACTCATATTTTACAGAATATCTCGGTAGTTGGTAATATCCATCTGCTCGCACAATATTGTGCATATGGTCAAAAAGCTCATGTTTTTAAAATCTCCATAAATTTGATTTCCCAAATTTTAGATATGCTATAGGGCCAGAGAAACATGTGGATATTCGTTAGGTCGTCTTAATGCTCTTGAAGACGGATCTAGGGACGGCGAAACGTATTTTAAAGTGGGGTAAAATATATTGTGTTTGCACTAAAAAAGGCCGCCACAGGTTGGCGGCAAGAAATATTCTAAATTACGATAAACTAGAGATGGCCAGAAACTGCGTCTAAAATAGAATTTGACGGGAGAAAAGCTAACGGTTCCATAGTTTTGTATATTTTAATGTTGACATTTGAAGAAAGGATCTTTCAGAGTTTTAGAATTATCTTAGCATAACAGCGAATAATCAGCCTTTTTACAAATGAATGAAACCAAAATAAGATGGAGAGAAAATATGAATAAAACACAGTTTGGCAATAAAGCATTAGCCAGTGCCACACACGCTGCCTTTGGCAATAAAGCATTAGCCAGTGCCACACACGCTGCCTCATACACATACAATAATAAGCATGAACATCATGAACTAAAGATTAAGTCTGGCCTTTTGGCCTGGGATCTCAGAAAGCTGAGGAAGGGGTAAGTAAGGTCATGGTGAGTTTATCAACAACCTATTTAATTGAATGAAAGCAGTAAAATAGTTTGCTAAAAAATGTTTAAATGATTAAATAAAGCATGTCCTATTTTCGTACTCCGTTTCGGACCAATTACTTGTCAACGGGACGCACATTTTCATTTACTGCAGAGGAAATAAATATCAGAGCAGTCCAAAAGTAAAACCTAATCGAATTCAAAATTTTCAAAGTGAAAGCCAAAATTTTTTTTTTGAGATAAAGCGCTCGGCGGGCCGGATAAAAACTTTCTGCGGGTCGGAGTTGGCCCGCGGGCCGGATTTTATGAATGGCTGTTACAGAGAAATGAATTCTATGTAAAATGATGTTCGTTTTGCTTTTCTACTAATTTTTTCGTGGTTCATCACCTCAATGACTACACTTAATACGGGTTGTTTTTAGAAAATCTATCAAAATTGTCAAGCTGTCGGTGGTTTCCACGCGGCAAGATATCCGTTTCTAATATGGCTTAAATTCTAAATTCTGATTTTGTATGATTTTGTAAGTTCCTTAAAGAATGACACGTGAGCATGGTACGATGTCAAATGATCGAATATGTCGTGTTAAGTTCACGTTGTGTTCATTATTGTCTCTCTACTGGAGAAGTGACTTAAAAAATTTGAAGACTAGAAAACGTCAATTTACCGATTAGAAAGAGTTATCAAAAAAGCTTAAAATGACTGATCCTTACAAAGGCCATACATTTTGAACTCCAAAAAATACATTACTTTGGTTGTCGCGTCAACGATTGATCTTTTTATTGGTAGGTAGATTCTTTGATGATCTATATAACGAATTTGAAAGTTACATTTGTAGAAAGCATTGCGTAGATAGAGTTTATTCCTAACAACGCTTTCTCAAAAATTTAAGGACATTATAAACTATGTTGATAGACAAGTTGTAATTGTGGTACTTACAATTTGAATCCACCTCAGTTCAGAAAACGTTGTGCAATTTCAACAGTTGGGAAAGCAAATGAAGCACTGACCATCTCAACTATAGCGTCTGCACTGGACTATGAGACAACATCTGTCCGCTTGTAATATTTAAACTCGCGCATTACTTGACAGCTTGAAAAAACAAAAAAGGAGCAGGTGACATCAACTGTACCTGTCTACAGCTATGATAAAGGCAATCAGTGTCGAGTGCTAAAGCCGAACAAAATTGAATGTTTTCAGAGGGAGGGGGTTTGGATGGGATGCTGACGGGCAAGTCCCTATGACATATTGTCAAGAAAATATTCCTAGAAGTCAGTTTCCCGAGTTTAATTTCTATGTTTTCATGCAGGAAAATGCTAGCTTATTTTATTCAAATGGTTATTTATCGATTTAGAACAGTTTGCTCTGTGCATATGATTTTGAGTATATTGCGCAAGAAGTAATGACCGATGTAAAACAAATAAAACAAAAAGAACTTGGTCCAAGTTCTCCTCGCACTTTTTATGAAATTGTGATATTCTCACATAGGTGAATTCATGCTTTACATGGTAATCTGCATCAATGGCCACCCTGTCGATTGGACGCGGTCTCCGTCCTGGTCGCAAGAAAAAGAAATAATTTCTATTTTTAAGATGTATCCCTGACTATTTGGTATAGCCCCAGGTTTGTCAAACGTTTGTACCTCAAGTTTAAACGATATTAACAAATATGAATTCGCATTGTTTGTACCACTGCCCGTTTTTATGTTGCTTTTAATGCACGCTGAAGAAAATGATACACGGGGATACGCATGTCCAGAACTATGTAAAAAAGAACTGCCTAGCTACTTAAAGAAGAGCAAGCTATCTTAAGCGGCCTAATTTTCATATCTTGCAATCTTTGACGATAAAATACAAAAGTTCAAGTTATCACAGCTGCTTGATCATTTCGACTTTTGAGACTTACATGAACTTTGCCGTAGGAATTTGCTTGAATACTTGGCTGGCAGAGATATAGAGCATTCCATATTTCTACGAAAACTCTGAATAGTGCCTATCAAGCCTAAATAAAAAAGTATCGTAACTTTCATTTACCTTTTTAATCAATAACCATAGACTTATTAAGTATTCTGAAAGAGCGTTCTTGTGAAAGATACCTGAACAAGGTCTTGGAATTCCTTGTGAGCTTTTGTCAAACAAATGAAAATCGCTGTTGCTCATGCACACTGAATTCATAACTTCAACTGTTTGCTTGCTCTTGCCAAGCAACATTAAACCCCAGATAATGGAAAAAAGATCCTGTTACAATAATCGCCGTTTCCACATTATGTGCAAATGCGTTCAAAGCCAATTTGCAATGCCCTCATCCTTTTTGCTAATCTACCAAAATCGACTTTTCATAGAAGCTTAGATTTTTTCTCAGCCTCCTTAAAGTTATAAATATTAGGCAAAATTAGAATTATCAACCGTAAATTAAACAATATTATCAAAAAAGATTTTCTCCAGGCATATTTAAAGAGCTTTTTCCGGTATATTGTAATAAAAATCGGAATGATTTGATGAAATGATATTTCTTGTATAACAACCCAATCCTTTCTTAAACACAAGATGGCAAGAAAAAGTGGACTTGGATTTCATAGAACCATTTGATGCATTTCATATTCCTCAAGCACTCAAATCAAACACAATCTAAACGGCCAAGGGAGCTGTCTCGCCCTATTGTATAAGTTTGCTGTTACTACGTACGCTTATGTAACTGTGCATATCTTTTTATAACTAACTAAAGAATGAATAATCGTAATGCATTCACAGTTTATTTATATTGTGCCGTGGAAAATTTATCCTGTATTATATTTATTAAAGCTGTTTCTTTTTTATTGTATTCCCAATACTAACTACAGTTTGTTTATTTATTTTGATAACCATAGATACGTTCACAGATTGGTTATGAGTTGTTGAAGTGTAGTAGTGATTTTGATTGATGAAATGTTTTGATATTTGTAACAAAGTTACTATTATATTATTATATTATTTACGCCCAGGGTCGCAGAGTAATGCGACGTAAAACAAACGGTAGGGTTTTCTTATATCATTACTAAAAAGAGCCCTTTTTAACTATTGATTCATCGCTAATATTTTAGAAAGCCCTCTTGTTTTCTCTCAGAACTACAAACGAAGTAGTAAACGATATACGGGATAAAATGAAAAGCGACAAAAATGAATTAGGCACATGTTATCCTCACGGTCGTTCTACGTGCATATTATAATTTCTTATTATATTCGAAACCTGCTAGAGGAAAATGACGAATCTTGTTTTTTGATGTCACATGTAAGGCTAAAAGTTGAATCTTTAATATTCAATTACCTGCAGGTTCAGCGTAACTGATCGTTGCAGAAGTTTGCCTTGAATTATTTGCTTTAAGAACATCGACTGTCTCGATATAAAGTTTAAGACTTTTTGGTGTTCTGTTCCTTTCTTTAATGTTAGTTTGTTTTTTAAATTATGAAAAAACATGAACATTGGCAAATGAAGGTTCAAAATCGCTGTTTGATTGTCAAGGATTACATGATTTTTGTAACGATTCACTGACAGATAATTCTAGGATACAAAAAAATGTAAGAATCCAATTTTCCATTTAAAGTTCAAATTTATAAATGCTGATGATAGACAAAACCCATTCAAAATTCTGAGAAGCAAAAGCATTTCTGGAAAACAAGCTGTGTTTTCTGCAAAGTAGGGTTTGGATATTTTAAAGCAGTGAAAAGAGTGAACGACGTGAAAGTATTCTTTCTAAAATGCTCTGACACATTCTTTATCCTACAAATAAAATTTGAATCCCATGCAGGTATCAATGCTGCTCAAAGAGGCATGAAAAGCATTGTTGCATTTTGCACTCATTAATACTGCATTCCATGGAAAAAGGCAAGTTTAAGCAGAATCTTGCCACTTAACTTTGCAATCATCTCCTGACTTCGCTTCAGCTGATAAAATAATGATTTTTCAACTCTTTTGTCACTGCCTAGAACAGGGGCGGATCGAGTTCAAATTTGAAGTATGCTGTATAAAACAATTTCCTACCCTAACTACTGACATAAGACTCTCTTTTCACGCTCTAAGAAGATGTTCACAATAGTTGTGTCAAGGCAATGATATATAGTCTGAATATGACTTAGGCTCGCTTATTAAAGTTTCTCTTCTAATAGATAAATTTCCGGCTGAACATTGGCTGCTCTGCCGTAGTGGCCCGAGTGGCTTTTCAAGCTCTCTCCAATAGGGGCGGACTGAAATGTTCCTCCCTTACTAATTAATCGAAATTTGGGGGCTCAGAAAGCTTGCTTTTTTGTTTTTTGTTCTATTTTAATTAGAGTTTGACTGCAGAGTAAAACAGTAGTTTAAAGTGTGCACTGTTCCGTTGGGCATCATTATTGCAAAAGATAAGATCAGATAAGCTCAAGGGTTCGGGGAAGGTCGCTACCATGGTTAGCGGCACAAAAAACTATGCAACTATGACATTTTAAGAATAGCCAGAATGTAGATCTAGACCATTTAGAACATCCATTTAGAAGGATGGAGCAAGGAATTAAATACTATTTCAATAATGGCAGGAATCAAAGAAAACGTATTGATAGCCTATGTTGTCTTCCAAAGTGTGGCCTTTCCAGCAAAAGATGATCCATTTTCGGAACAAAAACAAGTTTGCTTTGAGGTATTCCTTGAACGTGTTCACCTGATTCTCCCTCTTCATGAGTAGCTTTTTAACGATAGGGTTCTTCTTAGGACGGTGAAGATCCAGTGAGTAGCCAGCTCGTTGGGAGAGCGATGGGCTAGGACAATGGGCCTAAGCCCCAAATAGATAGCACACAAGAGAAACTCCTTCTTTGGTGTTATCTTTATCGTCAAAACAGTAAGACTAAATTATTCTAACTTGGAATACATGATATTAAAACATAAACAAAGGAACACTGTGAAACATCACATAACAGTGACGCACATTTCCCGGAAAGGGAGTTACTAACACAACGGTTCGACAAACAAACATGTGACATTAACACGCAGCATAATCAAAGAATCTAGCTTGACGTAATAATAATAATTATTAAAGAATACAAATCCTAGAACGTTACAGCATGAAATTTCCATAAGGGGGCGCCGGACTTGAACTCGGCCTGGTGGAAGCAGCTCCTATTTGCCTCCTTAAATCCACCACTGGCCTGGTAGAAAATATTTTTTGATCAGATGTGGTTTGCAGTGGTTCAATTAAAAAAGAATCTATTTCAACGGAGCAGTCAAAAAAATTTTCTAATAGAGATTTTGAATTGAAAATGTCTCTATCGGTTGAAGATAACAAATACCGTTAATGTACGAAAATATTTATGTAAATCAATATCTTGACCCTTATGGATAAAAAGGAAATTATCAAACAAACAATAGCCAAAGCTAATTTATGTACAAATGGCATGCTCTGAGGGCGTAGGAGTGTGTAGAAGGGGGCCACCTTGATAGCACCTGAAAGGGTCCCTAGTGTGGGGCTACATACAGCTGGACGTCGGCACTAGGACGTTAGTCTGGTTTTTTTTCTGAGTGGAGCAACTCGACAGTGTCAACGGTTGGAACTAACGGGCGATAAGACGGAAGTTCCATTTCAACTACGATCTGGACAACGGCTAAGAGCGCATACCATAGTATGTGCTACTGCGCTAAATGGAAAGGAGATTGGCACCGGCATGACAAACCTCATCCAAAGCCTGTATGAACACGCAGGGACAGCTGTTATGATTGGTGACACACTCAGTGACTGGTTTTGCAGCATTGTTGGAATCCGGCAAGAGTGTATCCTGTAGCCGATCTTATTTATCATGTTTTTAGAAAGGATAATGTTTGATGCTCTATTCAACTGCCACCATGGAGCAAAATATGGAGGACTAACAATAAATAATCCGCGTTTCACATTGATTTGATTGGCAAGAGCAAGGAAAACCTGGAAGATCTGGAGAAAATTGGAAGCATTCGAGATGAAATGCTATAATAGAATGCTTGGCATCACATGGAAGGAGTGCAGAACGAATGAGTATGTCTGGGGACTGGTGGAGGCTGTCTTTGGTGGGCAACGACCGGAGAGACTGATGCAAGTGGTGCAGAGGAGGATCCTTACCTTCTTTGGACACCAATCAAGACGAGATGGATGGACGAAACAGCTTATCCAGGGAAGGTGTTACGGTAGCAGGTACCAAGTAAGACCAATGCGCGTCTGGCAGGACAACATCAGGGATTGGACCGGACTCGGCAGACAGGCACGCAGCCACCACACAGCAGACATGGAACGGTGGCGAGCGAGCGTCAGGAAAAGGGTGCACCAACGGCCTAGCAGGCTGCGGGCTTATAGATTGAAATCAGAAAAAAGCAATATTGTCGCCGCCAAATGCTTCTACACATCACTAACCAGGCTTAGAGTGAGGTCACAAGCTTCTCTTTGGTAAACATGATAATCTGAAACTAAGTCTAATAATGCCCCTGCAGAACTAGACACAACAAATAGAAGCGCACAGTTTTCGATGAATTGTGTTTCTTCACGTAAAGTGCAAGATATGCATTCATTGGGAGATATATTAAATAATTGATTTCAAGTGTAATCCATAAGCAAAGCCTTGTGGAAAATTGTTGCCATAAATACTCTATTTTTTATCCTTCAGATAAGTACAAGAAATCAAGGTCTTTTTTGTACAAACAATTTTAAGCGTTACAGCACAAGGTGCTAAGTGTTGGGTGTACTCACCAGCAGAATGAAAGAGCTTAGATACCTTGTTGCTTGCTCTTCGACATTTTCACACCGCCAGGAGATGGCGGGTCCTCTACTTTTTGGCAAGATCGAGTTTGCATTTCGTCTACAATCAATTATAAAACTTTATGGCAGCGATAATATTTAGCAAAGCATTCGACGTGATATTTTTCTATGATTTTCAACTGTTTTTACGTTACCAAAAGTTAATCATTGGATTTCATTATTGGTAAAATTTGTGTCCTAATTGGTAAAAAAGCGGTTTGTAACAGTAAAATGGGCGTGGCTTAGATTCTTTGCTACCCCCTTACAGCCTAGTTGGCACCAGCGCCTTCTATGAAATAAATCGTTGATTGATCATTCTTTGCATAAATGGTAAATTGGATTTAACGAATGCGTAAATTTTCAAGATGTAAAGTAAAATGAAACTTATAACTGGCTATCTTGAATAAATGGAATGTGCAATTTGGGAATGTTTGAATGCTGGAAAGTTGGAGTGCTGAAATGTTGGAATGTTGGAATGTGAATAGAAGAAATTTAAGTTTTTGACACATTGCGCAAGTCATAAGAATTAAGCGGCGGACACACTGAGAGCGAAATAGCGCAGCGAAGCGACGCGAATGAGCGAATTAGCGTTCAGATAGTTTGTACTGAAAACAATACGCCTGTTCACATCAAGTAAGAGCATAGCGACAAGGAGCGATAGCGACACTGAGCGACAAGATTACTTCGCATGTATTTGCTCACTGCGAACAGAAAGGAATAACAGCAATGGGCGTTGATTATATCGTTGCCATACAACCGATTAGTAACTGGGAATAGTCTGACGATACTGGTCTTCAACCAGACCAGTATTAAAGTACATGGCCTCATATTTTGGGTAGAAGGTGGCCCCCAATAATTGCCAACTGTACTTTATATGGGAAGCAGAACAATAGACATCCCCCTGCCAATATAAATTTATTTCCA